CCAAATACTTAATCACGTATACACACATATACATATATAGATATGGATAGATAGATATAGATAAGATCGAAAAAGATCAGAACAGCATGCAGAAAGGGTGGATAACAAACCAAAAAGATGAAACACAGCAGGAATCATCGATATTATTGTGAATAAAGAAAAGATCGAAACTTAGAGACTTTACATGAAAGAGAAAAAACACTGTAACTAAATTAACCGGATTTTATCTAATAATTATGTATATATAAAGAGTACAAGGAAAAAAATATTAGCATATTGCATACCTGAAGATTATTATATCTGTTGAAACTCTTGGAGCACACAGAACATAAAAACTGAGTAGGGCCAATGAGAATCTGGGAAGGGGTGGGAATCCAATACTGAACCTTGTTTAATCTATCCAAAGGGTGTCCAGAAACCACACTCACTTCCCCTTTCTCACCCATTTGTGCACAAGCTGAGATCTTCCCCGATCCCAGAAGATCAGAAGAATCCACGCTAGGAAGACCTATGTGCAGTGCTACTGCCACAGTTTCATCATCACCATCTTCAGTCAAAAGGGTCTCATCCATGTCTCCTTTCTTGTGCCCTTCCTCTTCAGCTTCGCAGCCAGCGTTGGAGGGTTCATTCTCCTTGTGCTTTATGAGACTTATGAGAGGAAGGGCCTCTCTGAGAGGAGGAGAAGGAGGAGCTGCACAAGATGAAGAGGAGGTTTCTGATTGAACAATATTGGAGAAGGTGTTGGTGGTGTTAGTTATGTTTGAGTATGAATAGGAAGAGAAATGGTTTGGTTGAGAAGTGAAAGAAGAACGGTGAGAATAAAGGGGCATGAAGTTGAAGGTTCCAGCGTATAAATTGGAGTGAGGATCTGTCATAGTGAAGGCACTGATGGTTTTTCTGATCTTTGGCCAGTAGCTATAAGAGTTGTGTATAAATATATTGCAGCATGTGAAGAGAGAGAAAGAGCAATAAGGGATTTTCAAATCAACTTGTCATAGTATTTGTCCTGGTCGTCTCATTCTTCTCTTAGTTAATAGAAAAAAAGTACTAACACCACCCTTTCTTTCTTAATTATACTTTATAAGAAATTTAAGTACATGGTGTATTTTTAGTGTTAGATTAACTTTTGAATGAACAAGAACTACTCTTTCCTTCAATAATAGAAACAAAAACGTTAATCACAGACTATATTTCAATCATGTCTGTACCTGTCAGACTGGATCAAGCAAAAGTGTTTTGAGGGTGAGAGGGAGAGAAAACAATATGGGTAAATTTAAGGTAAAAGAACTAAAAAGATGGAAGCAAAGGAATGTGTTGAAGTACAAAACAGTGAAGAAATTACCCCCTGCAAGCCAATAAGAGAAGTTAAAAAAGCTTGTGGGAAAGCCAAAGATAGAGTCATTGATAAGACAATTGCTGGTTGTCTCCCCAAGAGATAGAGATGTTTGCACCACCACCTACGTACACGTATGTTGTCTTTAACAACGCTAAGAAACCTTTATCAGTTTAATAAATAATCATCAGTCTCTGTCAGATATCTTAGCTCTTTCATTATTAGTGCCTCCTCTTTCTAATCTTACTTTTTTTTTTCTATTCACAGCATTTGAATCTCTTAAAAGCCCTCTTAAGTAAACCTTCTCTTATTTACATACAAGTAAAACAAAACACAACCTAAGTTCAGTTTACCTTTGTCTTAAATGAAAAAGGTTGTTGAAATGAAACACTTACAGATCCAATGATCATGCAGACATACATGTACGTGAAAGATGGAGGAGATAGATAGATAGATATAGAGAGAGAACATTCTCTTTTTTTTTTTTTTTACTTTTTTCTTATTCTCTTGCTTCAATAAACGATAGATAGATATTATTTTATATAGTAACCTAGCTACGTCCAACATTTGCTTGGTTGGGCGTGTTTAGTGTTTCTTACATTTGCACGCATACTCATACACACTGTTCATTCCACCATTCTCACTTTCTGGTGTTTTGTCTGATCAAACAAAATATCAAATGCACTGTTATTTTGGAGTCAAAGAAGTTCATTGGTTTCATAGCTTTTAAATCACTAACTATGTTTTTAGTTTACTCCAACACATGCTTCGTTTTCCATTATACTGTTCATGCTTTCCCACTTTTTCTAGCACATCAGTCAAACACATAACATATAATTTATATACTTTTTAAACTAATTGTGAGATTTGATAAGGTGGAATGAAATTGAAGTGGTGATGAGTGGTGTGAAGAATAATGATAGAATATAGAACCCAAACCAATAAATAGCATATAGTTTGGAGCCAAAGTGATAAAAAAAGGTTATTAGGTTGAATCATAGTGAATGGTACTGTTAAAGTTGGACAAAAACACACAACCTGTAGAAAATGACGTTTGCAGTGTCGTTTTGTGCTTATAATTAAGACATTGCTCGTTTTTCTTAGAACAGCTTCTGTGAATTCTATTCCTTTATTCAAAATGTTCTCAATAGAAGTTTCCAGTAGTAGTAACACGTTTTGGACAAGTGGAGCTCATATTAGGCACAATATTTAGAGACTATNTAAAAGAACTAAAAAGATGGAAGCAAAGGAATGTGTTGAAGTACAAAACAGTGAAGAAATTACCCCCTGCAAGCCAATAAGAGAAGTTAAAAAAGCTTGTGGGAAAGCCAAAGATAGAGTCATTGATAAGACAATTGCTGGTTGTCTCCCCAAGAGATAGAGATGTTTGCACCACCACCTACGTACACGTATGTTGTCTTTAACAACGCTAAGAAACCTTTATCAGTTTAATAAATAATCATCAGTCTCTGTCAGATATCTTAGCTCTTTCATTATTAGTGCCTCCTCTTTCTAATCTTACTTTTTTTTTTCTATTCACAGCATTTGAATCTCTTAAAAGCCCTCTTAAGTAAACCTTCTCTTATTTACATACAAGTAAAACAAAACACAACCTAAGTTCAGTTTACCTTTGTCTTAAATGAAAAAGGTTGTTGAAATGAAACACTTACAGATCCAATGATCATGCAGACATACATGTACGTGAAAGATGGAGGAGATAGATAGATAGATATAGAGAGAGAACATTCTCTTTTTTTTTTTTTTTACTTTTTTCTTATTCTCTTGCTTCAATAAACGATAGATAGATATTATTTTATATAGTAACCTAGCTACGTCCAACATTTGCTTGGTTGGGCGTGTTTAGTGTTTCTTACATTTGCACGCATACTCATACACACTGTTCATTCCACCATTCTCACTTTCTGGTGTTTTGTCTGATCAAACAAAATATCAAATGCACTGTTATTTTGGAGTCAAAGAAGTTCATTGGTTTCATAGCTTTTAAATCACTAACTATGTTTTTAGTTTACTCCAACACATGCTTCGTTTTCCATTATACTGTTCATGCTTTCCCACTTTTTCTAGCACATCAGTCAAACACATAACATATAATTTATATACTTTTTAAACTAATTGTGAGATTTGATAAGGTGGAATGAAATTGAAGTGGTGATGAGTGGTGTGAAGAATAATGATAGAATATAGAACCCAAACCAATAAATAGCATATAGTTTGGAGCCAAAGTGATAAAAAAAGGTTATTAGGTTGAATCATAGTGAATGGTACTGTTAAAGTTGGACAAAAACACACAACCTGTAGAAAATGACGTTTGCAGTGTCGTTTTGTGCTTATAATTAAGACATTGCTCGTTTTTCTTAGAACAGCTTCTGTGAATTCTATTCCTTTATTCAAAATGTTCTCAATAGAAGTTTCCAGTAGTAGTAACACGTTTTGGACAAGTGGAGCTCATATTAGGCACAATATTTAGAGACTATATGATATGAAATATAAATCGAAAGTCTTACTTATAAAAATGAGAAAACTTGATAATACATAAAAACAACAATTTATAAGAACTAATAAGTTGTTTTAGTGTTGAACTCAAACGAATACAAATAAATTGTTATTAAATTCGAAAAGAAAAAAGTTAGAAATACAAAAATTAAAACTATATAATATAATCTACTAGTATAACATGGAAACCCTAACTAATTACATCTAAAATTTAAGAGAACTGATATTTATGGTTTTGTAAGAAAATAGTTAATAAAACTTCAATCTTCTATTTTCTAAGAGTGGATGATTGATTGATTTTGTGTAATGGTGTGAGATGCTAGAGAAACATGAGCAGGGGTAGGTTTAGGGGTGGGTCATGACCTCCTATTTGTTTTTTTTTATTCGAATTTGAAAATTGAAATATGTGTATTTTTTAATAGGTAAGTAATATATTAATATTAGAAAATATTTATACTTTTAAATGAATAGCAGCTCTCCTCACCTCTTAATTTTTGTTCTTGCACTTCCAAACATTGTCCCTTTCATTAATAATCATTAACTTTCAAAAGTCGATCGAAAATTTTACGAATTTCAAAAACTGTTAAAACTCAGTTTTCGTGAAATCTTAACTGTTTTTCAAAATTAATAAATTCCTTCAACAACTTTCGAAAGCAAATTATATTTTTTTTTAGTTTATTTATTTTTATTCACTAATAATAATAATAATAATAATAATAATATCAGTAATAATAATAATAATAATATTTAAACAAATAAAATATATAAAACTTTAAAAATCATAAAAACTTTAACCGTCGAAAGTCGATTAAAAAAATTCATTAATCAATTTTTAAAAATCAATTAGGAAAAATCTTTAAAGTGGCTTTCGAAATATAATTAAGTAAATTCTTAATAGTATTTCGAAGTTAGGTTAAAGTTTTTTAATCAACTTCATTCGGAATATAGGTTCCTCATAAAAAAAAATTGACATAAAACTAAGTATATAAGAAATATTTGTCTTTACTCAAGAACATAGATTTCCCATAAATAAAAATAAAAAAAAAAATAAATCTTTAAATATAAAGTTTATTATAAAATACAACACATCCATACATATTAAACGATCAAAATCAATAGCACTAAAAGGTTTCACTCTATCTTAAGAGATTATCTCTACAAAATAAAATAAAATATTACATCATTTGTGAAAACTTAAAATATAAACTAAAAAATACATAAATTTTTCATAAAAAGTCATATTACTCAAATTTATCAAACTCTTTAGGATTCTCAAATAAAAAATGTTCCTTTCAACCAATCTTGTGTGCAAACAAGTATTTATGCTATTGTAGGAGTTAGGCAACTAGGATACGGACTAATCATTATTTCTCTTGTAACAAGGATAGAAAATCTAATTAAAGTTGACTTTCCAAAACATCAAGCTCAACAGACTTTGTATAAGGTTCAAGATCGTCTCTCAAATATTTATTAAACGCTAATATATAATCAAATCTACGTCTTGTAGCTTTTAGGTAGAAACTCATGTCATAAGGATCGTCATCTTCATCATCTAGTTAGGATTCTTGTTGGTTACTTCGAGAACCATCCTCAACACCTTGATATTGTTTATAAAGTGTTTTTAAATATGGCAATAATTTTGATTTCAACTTACTCACCATGCTAGATTCAAATATATAGTCAATTAAATAATTAACAAAATCCAACTTACTCATAAGGTCAAGCACAACATCCATCAATAATAAGATATTAATTTCACTAGGATTTTCCAAATATTTGGCATACCTACCCTTCATCCTCATTGTCATCAACATTATGCTCACATCATTACTCTTATAATATTGCCAAATCTTTTACTTATTTCAAACACCTCCTTTATATAAATATGACTAGTGACATAATAAGAACCAGAAATGCATATGGTAGATTAAAACATCTTTAATAATGGTAAAACAAACCTCACATATTCACAATCCTTTCATAATATCACTCTACCATTACTTTTGGCCATTCAACACCAAATTTCTTATCTTGCATATCTAGCAAGACAAAGACATCTTTATACTTCAAGCTTGCCTCTAACATTATGTAAGTTAAATTCCATGTGGTTTCAACATCAAGAAAAACAAGACCTTTATAACAAATTCCCTCTTATTCAATACAAGTCTTGAATCTAACAAATCTTACTAGAGAAGATTTCACAT